GATAATCACATGATTATCACACCCATATCACACCAAATCGTGTGGATATAAGCGATAGTGTGATAATTGTGTGATAATCACATGATTATCACACCAAAAATTTAACTTATCAACTAAAACGATAACCCAAGTGATGTATAATGGTGATTATCACACCCATATCACATGATTACACCGAAAAATTTAACTTATCAACCAAAACGATAACCCAAGTGATGTATAACGGTGATTATCACACCCATATCACATGATTACACCGAAAAATTTAACTTATCAACCAAAACGATAACCCAAGTGATGTATAACGGTGATTATTACACTCATTTCACATGATTATCACACCCATCTCACATGATTATCACACTCATATCACATGTTTGACGAAATAACTCATAAATTAACGCCATGTTTTCAAAAGCCGTTTTACGAAGGAAAGTAAAGAGGAAGAAAGTAGAAAAACTCGTGCTCTTGAATTTTTTTTTTGAGAGAAAAGAAATGAAAATAACGATAAGTTTCCTCCCAAATATGGAAGGAAACAATTTAAAACTCTTTAAAATAAGTTATTAAAATTACAAAACTACCAACCTTTTCGTTTAAAAGAATATAAATTTAAAGGGTACACTTATAAAAATGACATCTTTCCTTTCCTTTTTTTTTTTTCTGTTTAAAAACACGATTTTCTCCTTTCCTTCCCTAAAAACCATTAAACCTTTTCATTTTAATTGATTTAGTCCCTGAATATTTTTTTTAAATAAATAAACCGTCACATTCTTAAAAATTGGTTACTTACATCATTTTAACCCACAAAAATTTACATTAACTAACTAGTAAAAGTCCGATGGTTTATTTTTTTTTAAAAATCCAAGGTATTAACCATTCAAAATATGAAAGTTTAACGATTTTTCCATTCAAAAATATAGTTTAGAAACTAAACAATTCAAAATGAGAAAGTTTGTTGAATTTTTTTGGTATTTTCCCCCTTTATAATTTAATAAAAAATTATTTTATATAATATTGGTCTTTTATTGAATAGGCAGACCAATGAATCACACTTAATACGAGAATTATCCAGTGCATCCAAGGATGAAAATCCTTTATTATATTTCTCACTTTAATTTTTCTTCTCATCAGAATCCAACGTTATTGAATATTCATCATTTTTAATGGAAAATGGTAAAATAAAACTATTATAATTTGAAAATTATATAATTTAGAAAAATTACAAGAAGCCTTCATCTATACTATATTATAAAGCATTTGACTAAAACTCTTAAAAACTCTTAAACTCTTAAAACTCTTAAAACTCTTAAAAACTCTTAAACCCGTTCATCCCTATCCGATTTCATCTCATATCTGAATTCKTGTAACTAACTGCAAATAAACACAATCAAATACAGGATAAACATCTCATTTTAAATAGAAAAAATCTAAAATATAATTAGGATAATCATTAAATTCTAACAGAATACTTAATTATTATATTTAYAAAATATTATATTATTAAACCAAAAATAAATTATTTCATTATTAAACTTAAATTAAATTATAATAAAAAAATAAATTAAAGAAATTACATAAAAAATAAAAACTTTTA